GAAGATGGAGCACAATGGCACACTGCTAGAAACACCCAAAAGTGATAGGAAGAAAATGGTATCCAGAAGTTGCCCTGGCCGAGCCCATCTCCTAACATGAACCCCATCGAAAACCTTTGGGCCGCACTCGACCGGCAAGTCAAGAAACAACCAAAAAACCAACTTCGAAGAGCGATCTACTCCAAGTTTTGAAGCAAGAGTGGGCGAAAATCCCACAATCTAAAATTGACGAGATGATTCTCACGATCCCCCAAAGAATCAACGAACTCCACGAAGCGAAAGGAAGATCTACTAAATATTAATTAAATTATAAATATATCAATTCATGTGAATATGACTGAAAAATTTCATTTTTTCTGAAAAGGTGGTGTCTATTTACTTGTGACCACGCTGTGTATATCCAGACTGGATTTGAAAAACAGTTGAAGTAAATTCTTTTTATCAACATAAAAATATAGTATATCATACAACAAGAGGGAATCTTCAATAGCCACGACACTTGAATTTTTTTATGCAGGATTAGAGTAAATTAATCTGTGAGACCTTTTTCCCCTTTTTTATTAGCTATATTTTTGTGCAGCAGCAATACCAAGCGGGGGGCGCGCGTATACCCAATTCGATTTTATTACTCATCAGGATCTCTACCAGCCTACCCTCAAACTGAAATCCTTTAAGCAGGATTAGAATAAATAAATCTATGAGACCTTGGGCGTGGTCAAATCAGTCGAAATGGTTTGACCTCCTGAGTCGAAAACTGTAATTAGATCTCAAATCGGTCAAGAGCTCAACGTTTGTACTTGAAAAACAACAATGACAACAACAAAAAAGACTCAGAGCCGTTCTATGAGCCGTTATACCGCGGCTAAAAATAAGTTTTTCATATAAATAAACATCAAGTTTTACTGCTCCAATTGTTTGTAAAGATATATTCATTGAAACGCGGAGTTTATGCACTGAGTGGCTTGTTTCACACCCACATAACGATTCACTTTCACAGATTTTGTTTTTTCACTTATAATTTAATTTAGCATAATCCTAAGTAACCCGTTCAGCGGAATTCACTTACGAGAAAAATATGTACTCGATTAGAATCTGTTGATAGGCAAAGTATGTAAAGCCTGTTTCAAACTACACGTTCTATTTAATCGTCAAGACATTCTCTACTGAACCTGATGATGACAAAACCTTGTCGAAACGTTGTACATTTGCTGTTATGTTAAACTTATATTAAAGTTTTTCTTCATTACCCATTCAAGCCGTCTCCAGCCATTATAAGGCTATATGTGTCGTTTTTGTTGTCAGTTGATATTTTAATAATAATTTGATGCCTAAAACTTACTTAACATACAACAATTTACCAAGTTTAAGCATTAGCTTCCTTTCTGAATGAGATGGTTATCTTCTCTCTCTTGGCCAGATATAATTATGTAGTAATGCGTATGGTTGTACGTCACAACAACAGTAAATTAAGTCACATAATTTCTTGATGACCCAGTACATGCTTCCGTTGTGAAGAATATATAACTATATTTCAATTATGCTACGTTTGTGTATGCCACTGCCAACAAGACTTTTCGTTTGTAGGGCTATCTGTGCTCTGACCACAACGTGTATCGAAACCCGGTTTCTAGCGTTGTAAATCCATAGATATATCGCTTTGCCACTGGGGGGGGGGGGATTACAACACACACACTCTTAGTTGAATTGACACACACACACACACACACATATATATATATATAATTCGTTTGTGAGACGACAAGTCTTATGCAGAGCGTGACATTTAGTGGTAATATGTGTACGTGCTATTGCATCACAATAACATCTCTCATTACTATTTGTTTGATGAAATATATATATACTTCTAGAGTAAAATCGTAAGGTTTAATTTTATTTTGTAGCTTATACAGACGACATTATCCACGAACTCCAGCAACATCCCAACATTGACTTAACCTCAACCCAGGAGGCACTGCTGAAGGAACGGTTGAGCGGCCTTCACGATCACATACATAACCACCCAGCACTTCATCAAAATCGACTTTGGGTGGGACAAAAAAAACCGACTTTTGCACCCGACAACAACTATTTTAAGAACTTTGAAATTGAGGTAATTATGAACAGATATCGTCTTGACATAGCATTGTTACAAATTGGTCGAAGAAATGTAGACATTTGCTGTACATTCAAACGTAAAAAAAAGTATTTTAAGATTCTCAGAAAAATATTTTTGTGGTTTACTTCGCGTACTTTTACAGTAATGAAACTATGATCAGATTTCTTATATTAATTACGTTATTAATTAACAAACTGCAGTGTATTTAGGTTGGTTGTCGTTTAAAGTATTACGAATATAAAACTTATTTACAGAATTTTTTTCAGCGTATATAATATTGTTATTTTCTCATATAAATCTCTGTTACTCCAGTGGCCCATCCGTAAGTGTGAGGGCTTATAACGTTAAAATTCGGGGTTCAATTTTCGCGGTACACTCAGCGTAGATAACCCATTGAGCAGCTTTGCTCTAAAACAAACAGATTACGTGTCATGTAAAGGATAAATGGGCTGCGTGATATTTTATGGGTTTTAGCACCCTCTAATGGTAACCTTGTATTTACAAAAGTCATACAATGTTATGTGAAATCCGTAATTTAATAATCAACAGAATCTATATAGATTTCTGTGTAGAAAAAGGCAGCTAGTAACAGTATGAATAATTTCCAACATTAATATTCTACACAAGTTTGAATGGTGCATTTTCCAAGTTTTCGAAAAAAAAAAAAGGATTCAAACAGTGAGAAATAAGGAAGATCCACATATGTAGGTGTGTAACTTGCGTAAAAATGTATCGTTTCTTCACGAGAAAAAAAACTAATTTTTCTGGTCTAAGTCGATTTATTAACACGTTAAAAATGTTATTACACCTAATGTCAAAGGTAGATTTTCAAGTCACTTAGATAACTGATGGTAAACCCTTGTTCCTCGTTGTATATATATTTAGGGTAAGTATTGTTTTCTTCTACGATGTGGAATGTTTAAAAAGTGCTGTCGTTTAACTTTATTTGAACGGAAAGTTACTTTGGTGCTGTTCTTTAACCTTATTTAAAAGGGAAGTCTGTTTGGTGCTGTTGTTTAACTTTATTTAAAAGGGAAGTCTCTTTGGTGCTATCCTTTAACCTTATTTAAAAGGGAAGTCTGTTTGGTGCTGTTGTTTAACTTTATTTAAAAGGGAAGTCTCTTTGCTCCTAGTTTTTTAAACTAGAATTTCACTGTAATATATATAATAAAGATGTAGAACAAGCAAATTGAAACGCCATTTCAACATTTCTGCAGCTGGGCCGACCAGAAACGAAGCATTCAGAACATCAGAAGTTCAAGAGGGAGTCCTTTTATCCATCAGAAGAAATCTGTACCACCGAAACCACCTGGTTGAAAATTAATTTCACCATTGATCTTTACAATAAGCCTGTAGAGATTATTCAACAAGATTACTTTGGGCAGTATGTTTTCTCCTTCAGGTGTTTAACGTTACATAAACCATGTCGTGGAATAACAACAATGTAAGTGCTGCCATCTCGTAGTTACATTTATCAAATTATATAAAGTTGACTCAATCTCTCACGTTATCTTGTTTATTTTATTGTGGTCTATATACTCTTCATTATACATGTTATCTAAGTATAATGAATGAGCAGATATTATTATAATTATGAAGATGCATACTCTTATATCACTATAACTAATACACTTTAAATTTTTTATATGATACTGATTGTAATGTTTATATAGATTACTCCATCTCTAATTTTAAGTGTAACATTTAGACTGAGTATTGACTGTTAAGTTTTGGTTCTGTGTATCTATACATCCAACCGGTAATTCTATAAATGTGATGCAAAGATAAATGTCAGTTTAGTCCGTATTTTTGCACATGTTTTTCCAGGTATGAAAGTGAGTGCATCGAGAGGCTTGGATGGGTATATATGTATTATCGACGCCGTGGAGAAAAAGCACAGTGGGGACCTGTTGCTGTTCCGAGTCACTGTGTGTGTATTATAACACCAAGGTTCTTTCCTGATTTGAGAGCTGGTACTCAGTAAGCAATCAGACCTTAAGATATTGATGTAGTCATGATTTCTCTGTCTCCTCAGCACTTACTGTCCGCCAGCTTTTACTTATACAGTGTCATTGCACATTATAAGAAACTTCTAGTAGAGTCAGTTAAAGGTAAAGCATGAATTTGGGCGTTCAAGCTAAGCAAATACTATATAGAAATTATTTATTTATTCTAATTTAATCATCTATCCTTTAAAGTGTCACTCAAACTGCTTCTGGACGTTTAGTCTTCAAAAGCGTTTCCTATTTTTTTATATTTATAATCGTGATAAAATGTTCATATTTAGTGTCGAATACTCTAAATAGATGGCACTGTATGTCATAGGCTGCTCTAAAATAGAATAATGTCAAATAGAAAATTTTGTAACTAGTATAACCATTAAAAATGCATTTTATCTCTAACGCTTTGCTAATTATTTTATTCTTTATTCTTTTCCGTTCCTAACAATGAATTAAAACAATACTAAGATTTCAATCCCTAAATACAAGGCCAAAAACATATAGTATTAGCTGATATGACTTAGCAAAGTGAATAAAAATATCAAAATCACCAACTCGTTTTCAGAAAACGTGTTCGAAAAACTGGGATTATACTATCCTAAAATTTTCACACCGTACAAGTAGAAAAACTATTTTAAAAAGTTTAGATATTGACTGATGCCGGACGGTATAACAGAAATATATTACCTTACTTTAGTAAGCAAACATGAAGAGAATGGAGGTGGTATATTGAGACCAAGTAGAAAACTTTTATGATAAATTGTGAAAATCTTAAGCTGATTAAAGATAACAGGATTTAAGATCTTTATTTGGCTTTATCGCCGGACAAAGACTTAGAAAAACAATAATCTCTAGTCTTTAAGATTAACCAGCTATTGGATAAACTATTGACTTTTTCATTTTATTTTTTAAATAAATTTACTTTTCTTATAGTTATCATTAAATAGGATGACAGGCAAGATCAGTGACGAAAAGTGAATATCAGAGTCAATATTAAAGTGGTATTTCATTGAAATACATAAAAAATACCGGTTTATGGGGATTAGAAAAAGAAACAAAATGGAATATCTATATTTTGTTCAGTGTGTTAGCTGTTGTATTATGTTACATATTACAATTTCAAATAGTCTGAAACCGAACTAAATGATAATATAAATTTAGTAGTCAAGTATATCCAATTTATGATATTTGTCAAGAAATTTGATACACACAGTTTTCTTTTTTTTAATACAAATATATTTTAATACACAAATAATAATACAATTTACAATAACAGTTATTACAAGTTATGATTTGTATACAAAAGTTTTACAAACTTACAGGCAGTATAAACTCTTTTTTTCTAGTCTGGAACTTCCTTGCTGTCTTAACGAGGGTTCACAATGAGCGAGTTAATTTCGAGTTGACGTGGGTACAATTCACTTAAGAGGGAGCCGATTATATGTCGAGTTTCTTTTACCACTGAAGTTATATAATATCTTTATAAAAGTACTAATGTCCGATGTGAATCCACTGAACTTAAATGATTTGTAATGGTCGAAATTTATATATGTTCCTGGTCAAATATCTGAAGTGTCCCGATTAATAAGCGTTATAACAATCACAGTTATAGCTTCCGAAGTTTACAGCACGCCAACAATAGCAAAACAGTAATATATATACTGTTTTTTGGCGCGTCGCGTTGGTTATATTTATAGGCGTGTGGAGAGTTTCTCGAAAATTCAGATTACGTAACAATACAAAACTACACTGTGGTTTACGTACACACACATATATTGTTGATTCTTACACTCGAGAATCTTCTACAACTTTAAAAAATCAGCGGGAGTTTCGCAATACATATTTAACTGTATAATTTATGTACATTTCTAAATATAAGTTAAATTTAAACAAACATCGATATTAAAATATATAAAAAATAATTTCGTCACAATAAAAAAAATCACTTTTCATATACAAATAAGATCATTATGAAAAGTCATTATAGCATGCCTGAGTACTTTAAATGGAAGAAAATTTCATGTAAATTATGATTCTATTTTAATATTTTGACATTTTTACGGTATTATTTCTGAAAACAAAAACGTTAGAACTTCCTCGTAATTTCTCCATATTGCTAACTCCATAGTTTGAGTGTTCAAACAATTCTTTAACAGAAAAACACCTTCATATAGCATTTAATACCATATTAAAATACAAGGATTAGAGGTCAAGAAAATTGTGTGAGCATAATTAGGTAAATTTGAGAATGTAATATGATAGATGAATTTAGACTATTAAGACGTGTTTTCATACATGTGTCTTTGTTTTATTTTTGTTATATATTCTATAATATATGAATGAACGCAGTGGTTGGTGGGCATGCCTTGCCTTTGTAAAACCAGAGCAGCACCTACCGAGAAAATCGATAACTATTCTTTGGCTTAGCTCTGTACCTCTAGTCCCCCAGTCAACACTATTCTAAAGCAATCTGTACCAAGGTTTCATGTTTAAAAGTTGATTTTGCTGTAAGACTGAGGAAAATGGAACTCTTAAAAGAATTATTTTCCTATCGTGTCTGATTAATAGTCGGAATGTTGTTGACCCTCGTTTTCACTCAATCTGGTAAATTCACATCCTATGTTAATATATAAAGGCTTTTAAGTTTGTCAGTTCTCAGTAAACTTTCCGTGTGCTCGTGGGAAGAACATTTAAAAGACGTAAAGAGCAGCAGTAATCAATGTTCTGACTAACTGATGTATAAAACATTACGACTTTAAATATTTTTTTTTGTTCGTCGTTTAAGCACAAAGCTACATCAAGGGTATCGAAACCAGGTTTCTAGCGTTGTACGTCCGCAGATATGCCACTGTGCCACTGGGGCATGGTGGCTTTACATAAAGCTAATTCAGCGTGCTCAACACGTTGGGACATACGGCACTTTTTTTTTAATGTTTCAGTAACAGGTGAATGAACATCTTTTGCTTTATTGAAGAAGTTAAAATTATATTATATTGGTGAGATTATGGACTATAAAAATTCAAGCTATAAACTCAGAATTATTAACACCACTTCATGCTATATAAAACATAAAATAAGTTTCACTCTGTGTTTACTTTCTGTTTCTGTATAATATGTTACTCAAGGGGGAGGGAGAGCTGGTTATGGGGTTTGCGGACCTGGAATGTGAATACGAATTTTTATGGTTCGTGTTCTGTTGCCAGCAAAAACGCGCTCCACATTTAATAGCCATAAGTCCGTTAAAGGTCTACTGTCAGATTCCTCTTTTAAGTCAGACAGGAGTAGCCCAAGAATTGTTGGTGAGTGTTGATAACCTTCCTTCTATTCTATCAGTTTAAAATTGTGGACAGATATATGCAGATAATTCTTTCTGTAGTGAAAATCTTAAAGAGACCAACAAAGGTATCATTCAAGGTATTAAATAAGAGTAAAATTGCAATTTTCAATATCCAATCGCCATTTACTTTTCAAACTCTAATCATCTTAAATACAAAGAATATTCAAATAAAGAGTTAAACAAAATACCCAAAACTGATATAACTGTTCTTTAAAATACTCATTTTTTAATAGAAAAAGAAACAAACCACCTCTCTAAAGATTCACTACTAAAGTACATGTAGTATTTATTATGAATATTTAATATAAGAAAATAGATCAATAAAGTAATATTAGGTGCCCTATTATCTTACAGGTTCACTTGTAAAATATTTTCAGGTCCATAACCTTAATACTTTATGCTTTGGTCATTATGCTGTTTTACAACGTCATTGTGTAAAAAAAAAACCTGCTAATGAAAAATTTCAAAATCTACAATAGCTTTAATTAAAAACGAAGGTTGAAAGTAAATTAAACATCTAAATTTAATATGTGACATCATTTCATGTATTAATATGAGGAAGTGTCAAGTATTCAGGGGTGTATGATCCACACAATTATATCCGCTAGTTGACAGCACTGGTGATCATGTTTGTAATGGATACTGTTCTGTTTTTGCAACTTCGGTTTTAAAGAACTCTCACCAGTCTAAATGTTCTAAGGTAGCGCCGTCAGATTTACAAAAAATTATAGAATACAACACCTGGCTGATATTTTCGAACTAGGTGAGTAGACCTGTCATGTATATCATCAACAAATTTTATGAGTAGGCCGCAATTCTCATAAATATATATTTATCATCACATTTAGGGTGAAAAAAAATTGTTTTTCTTCAATTAGGTTTGGTTCGCTCTTCATGTATATGTTGCTATTGAAAATGTAGTCTAGTATTCAACAGTTTTAAACTTGGTATGTAAATACTCTTGTACGAATATTATGATTTTAATTATTAAGCCTCTTTACAAGTATACACGATGCTCAAACACATACATCTATTACCATATATTTCGTAATGTCTTTATGTGAGTTTGGGACTCTCAGGCTGTGTTGTTTCTATTACAAGATTCAGTTGATAATAAAAAAAAGAAACTTTTGTTAATGTTTTTGATATTCTGACATTATGAATTGACTTCAAAACGTTCGAAAAATAATTCCATTTTATTAAGCAAACATGAAACAAAGAGTACAAGAGTACTATTAGCATTTAACGGATCTGATTTTTGCAATATTTACAAGATATGACGAAATCTGGACCCACTCCAATTGAAGAACTTGAATGAAGGTATCCAGAGATGTTTACTGTCTGGATGAACAAAACATGGTCGATAGAGCTAATATCTGGCTATTGGCTCTGGCCACGGGAGGTTGGTAATGTTTCAACCTTCTATTCAACGTTCTGGGATTCGGGTTGAATATGTAGCAGCCTCATCATAAAAACACTGTCTTGTATAATAAGTTGGAAACTGGCATAGATAGGTAGAAGACCTTGCTCTAAAACTGTAATGTATCGAGCAATATTGAACTGTTCCTTCGCATACCACCACCACCTGTGATTGTCCAGCTGCTCAAATGGCACCCCACACCATAACTGAAATACCAGGCGCGTCCACTATTCGAAAAATGCATAAATCAAGACTCGTCTCAAAAGGCAGGAAGGAAGTTGAAATACCAACTGCTGACGTCACAACTTACTTCCCGGAGTGCGGAGTGGTTTCCTTCAAGCGACTCTGCACTTGAATCTCATGTTATAAAGAGAATCTCTGATGATATTGGAGCACACTTGCATCTGTCGT